AGGGAGGTGACAAGAATTATGTGCACATGGGCCAAGGCAGACAGGCTGAGTGATCTGCCCAAGGGGACAAGGAACCCTGTGGCAAGTGGATTAAAACCCCATCCTCTGACTCACAGGGCTGATCTACCCCTTGGTGGCCACCAACCCATCAGTCCTCTAAGAATTTGTTCTCTTTGCCAATTTGGTCCTTTGCCAATACCCTCTGCCAGGAGAAAGCCTGAGAGACAGAATGCTGAAGTTTGCTGCCACTGTGTATCTTATAAGTGTGAAGACAAACTTTAGCAAAAAAAAAAAAAATGAATCTTTTATTTTGTTTTGTACGTGGCAGGATTGTTATGGGAAACAGCTTTTCTAGACCCACAAGAGGTAAAAGCATCCTTAAGGTGAAGAGTAGCAGTGAAAACCTTGATCTGTAAAATGAATTTGTAAGGTAAATCCCAGGCTGCTTTCTGATGTGGAACTTCAGTGTGTTTTCAGGCCACACAGACATGTTTCCCTCGAAATAAGCAGTAAACAAGAATTACTGTTAAGGCTGAGTTTGTAACCCAGCCTGGACGTGCACCAGGTGCAAAGAGAGTCCTGTCAGAGAGCACAGGAGGATGAAGATAACAGAAGCAACAAAACCAGATTTCCTCTTCACACCTTGTCCTTTGCCAAGAGCTCCTGACCTTGTTAGGCAGGACTTGCAGAGCTGGACTGAGAGGTGCTGTGTGGCCTGGCAGGAGAGGAGAGGTCCTGTCACTGCACTGGCACCAGGGAAGGGACACAACAAGACCAAGACTGGAGACAGAAAACAGGTAACAGGAATAAGAACAGAAAACCGTCTGGAAGTATGGAAAAGAGCTTTGCTGGTGAGAAAGGCAGACTGAAGTTGCCATGGCTGCAAAGTGTTATAATCTCACCTCCTTGATATGGGGATGATGAACTGCCAACAGTTTGGAGTCCTTAGACCCTGGGAACTCAGGGATCCATGAAAAGCCTAAGATATGCAAAACAAATCAAAATGGGAAAGTACCAGGGTAAAATAAGATTTCAAACAGTGCCAAAGGCAAGAAGACAAGCTCCCTATTTTCTGGAGAAAAAGGTACTGACATGCAGATAAGATCTTGACTAAAGAAATCCATTGTGCTTGTTGGAGATTAAAAACAAAAGATGCCCACACAGAAATAACAGTAAGTCTGAATTCTTCAGTATCAGAGCAGGCACAGGCCAGAGCAAATGCAGGCAGAAAGAAGGGAAAAGAGAACCCTGGGAGATGGAAATCTTCACAGAGGATGCATCAAAAACTGAAGTTCAATCCTTCCAACACACCAGGGAAACCATCAGGTAGTGGTGGCCCACAGAGCACACCCCGGGTCTGTCCAGGGTGAGGTCACTCAAGGGCAGGACAAGGGAAAGGTGGAGATTCCCCCAAATGACAGCAGAGTATCCAGGTGATCTGTGGCCATAGGGCAGGCTAAACACATGGGAGCCTGAACATGTTTGTGTACAGGGACAGGTTTGTGGCTGTCACAAAATTTACTGAGACAGGCCCTGGGAAAGAAATGATCAGTTGGTTGTGGGTGAAAAAACAGATTTACTGAGTGCTGAAGGACAACACTGATTATCTGGCAAGTGTGGAGATAGAATAGATTTATTCTTGAAGAAGTGATGATGATCTATATTGAAAAGAAATTATTTTGGAGTTTCCAGGTTTAGTTTTCAGATGAGTAAAGATCAAGGACATCACTAAAGCATAAATTAGGCACTTTGCAAAATACACAGGGACAACATAGAGCAGAAACTTAGGTCATTAAAATTACAGGAAGCCAACCCTGTGCTTCTCCTTTCACTCACTCTCTTCTTCACTTTTCCCTTCCCCCTGTTTTCCCCCTTTGTTTTTAGGTAACACTTAAAAATTACAGAACCTGGAAATGGGAAACAGAAACATCTGTTGGTAATGCCAGTGACTTGCCTGTGCTCTGTTCTGGATTATCTGGATTTCTTCCCCTTTGAGAGATGAACTCAACAGAAGCCCAGGGGAGTTTATTCTTCTGGAGAAAATGAGGTGTGTTCCAAAAAACATTTTAAATGGGCAGAGGGAAAGACAAGAAAAGAAGAAAAAAAAAAGAGTTAAAGGAAAGACTGAACACCCAAGAGATGTGGGTTCCAGATAAGACAATTGAGACCTGCAGATAATAAACACTGACAAGGAAATTTTAGCAAATCTTGTTACATGAGGAAAGAGGTGACATTTCAAACCCACAAAACTGTGCAAGTTCTCTCTCTCTGTTTTTATTTACAGAAATAAAAAACAGAGGCAGAAACCTTGTTAATTAGAGCATGGTTTTTGTACTTCGTGTTTTCCAAGCCCTGAAAGGATCACAGGTGCCGTCAGTGATTGGTTTCACATTATGAATACAGAAATATTGTGGAAGGAAAACATCCATGGTCAGTCCATCAACACAGAGAAAAGTTTCCGTCATTAGTTGCCAGGCAACCCCCACCAATTAAAATAACCATCAAATGCCACACATTTCATGCTGGAATCATTAATAGCAGAATGCAATTACAACCTTTCAAGGAAACAAGGAGACAGAGACAAACCACCAGACAACTACTGATCACATGCCCTCTGATCATCAGGAACAGGGAGTGGAAATGTTTCGCAGTTCCCTGTTGGTCAGCTCCCCATCACCATCACCCTTCCCTGGGCATCAGCCTCCAGCTACCACAGCCACAGCAGCCCTCAGAGACTTGGAGAGTGACACTCCATGCTATACACACCCCCCACAACCAAGACAGCTTTAAACACATGCATCTTCAAGTATCTGAGATGTCCCCGTGGAAGTAAGGCCAATCTGATGAGCCACCCCCAAAAAAACAGCTTCTCTTCTAGAGCTGAACTAACGTAATTTAAAGTAGTCACAGAATTGAAAACATCTCCTGACATAACACCTCCTCCAGCAGTAGAGTCTGTAGAAGGGCCACAGCACTGGTCTATCTAAAGCCCAGCACACAGAGCAGTGCCCTGCTGGGCCAGAGCTACCTGGGATAACAGACAGCAATGCAGAGAAACTACAAAGTGCCTCCCAAAATATAAAACCCAATTAAATAAATTCTAAATAAAGGAGATGGTCAGAGCATGGTGCTAACAACACCAAGGTTGTGGGTGTGATCCCTGTATGGGCCATTCTCTCAAGAGCTGGACCCAATGATTGCAGGTCCCTTCCAGCTCAAACTGTGATCCCATCTCAAATACTTCTGATGACCCTTTTCCCATCCCATTGTTTTTGTTCTTCTAAAGCCTGGGGTATTATCAGACTAACCAGGGATCAAGATAAAGAAAACACTCTTCTACCAATCAGTACCCAAAGGTACTGGGGCTCTTACATGGGCTGGTGTCCAAGTTTGACTTTTAATCACCAGAAGATTACATTCCTTTGCTGAGACTCATTCACGGTTCAGTGTTGCACAAGGTGAGCCTGGACCATCTGAAGGGAGCTGTCATCTCTGCCATCCACGGCCTCTTCCTGCAGCCAGCACCTCCCTTCCCCGAGTGCTGCACTGGGGGGTGTCTGGGACTGCAGTTGCAGACATACTTGGAATAGCTTCGAACTGTCTGCCTTGATAGGTGTTAAAATGGGAAGCGTGGGGCTGAGCACAGGCTGTGCCTTATCCCAGAGCAGCAGGATGAGTCAGGCAGAGCTCTGCCCTCCTGCAGCACTGGGAGTTATCTCACTGACACGTCTACACCAACCGCAGCTTCCGCGGCACAGGCACCAAATCCTCTGCTCCCTGCTCGTAACCAACCTCCCACTTCTCCACACTCCTTGGCTTTTCCCACAAATCACCCCTCCAAGGATCTGCCCCACATGCACCAGGACCTGCTGCCAGCTCCAGTTAGGGCTTGGAAAGCACCAAACGTTCAGGTGGCCATGGAACCAACCCAGACACTGGGCTGAGATGTGGATGAGCAACAATGGGAGTTATGCAAGTCCAGGGCACCCAGCTCTCACACCATGGGGGCCACAGAGGAGTGTTCCAACATGCACAGCACTGAATCACTGTCAGCCTGTCTTCCCTGAGCACCAGGTATTAGCCAATGGCTCTGGCAGGATCACAGAGCAAAAATCCCACAACTTCAGTCTGCTCCAACAGACTGTGGCTAGAAAATGGCAGTGAGAAGTGTGCAGGGACAGTGGCTACCCAGCAGACCTTCACTGCATGGCAGTGTACCACTCACAGCAATGCTCATCAGCTCCTCACCCTGAAGTGCTCCAGCAGTGTATCCTTGATGCCCAGAAGAGTTGCGTAAAGCAGCTATAGAAAGATGAACAGGTACAGAACCTTCAGCTGAGTCACTGCTAAGTGAGCCACGAGGTTAAAAGCCCCTGACACAAACACACATTTCTACCACTGTGATTACCAACTCCAAATTTTGACACTGAATTTTGTTTTATGTGAAAATCACATTCACAGACAATTTAAGGCTACAAAGCAAGCACTAGCAGTGTGCAATTTGGATGCAGCGACTCATGCCACACTTAGAAATATACCGTGGGGACACAACAAACATGAATTGAAAATAAATCTTCCACTGGGAATTTGGGTATTTTAAAAACTCACCAACTGTTGATAAATATACACTGAAGGGACACAGCTCCCTTAAGATGTTCTATGTCTTACTACCACCAAGAGCAAGCAAAGGTTTGACTCGAGGCAGCAAATACGCAAAAGGTCATTTCCAGTGCCAAGAGGAACTTCTCCCAACAAGCTGGGACACGAGCAGCCTCCTATTAATAGACATGTACATACAGTAGCACTGAGACTTGAGACAGAAGGGAGCTGTTGTCTCGAGGTGAAAAGGCAGGTTGTGTCCATGAACCAATTCCCCTTTCACATCAGCTGGAGGGCAGGGGCTCATTCAGAGGTGCCCTTAACCCAGGTAACAGTAATACTGACACAGGTGTCCCAGCTGGGCTGTCCCTCGCCGGGATCCTCCCAGAGGCTGGTGTGAGTTTGAGAGGGCTGGACAAAGGCTGGGCCAGCAGCAGTGCCTGTCACCAGCTGAGCTGTGACACCTCCCTGAGCTGCTCCTTAGATCTGAACTGCTGCATGAACCTCCCTGAGCGCTCTGGTCGGTCAGCAGCTACCAGGTAAGGAATGAGCTGCACACCCTCGGGATACACAGTCTGCTTTCAGCCTCTGATTGATCGTGCTCTGACTTCCTGTGCCTCCAACCCAGCAGCAAAAGTGCAAATCAAAGACGAATGGCCCGTTCAAACGTTTGCCTTCGCGTAGGAGAGCAGGACACGTCCCTGATTTCTGTGGTGAAATACATCTCAGCTTTGAGAGCAGGGACTTCAAACCCTCAGCTCAACAAAGCTCATTCCCTGACCACCTCCTGCACCCTGTGAGTAACAAATAACAAACTGATATTCCTCATACTAAAGATTTATCTTACTGCAGTTTCTACAATCGTTGCCACGGGATTAAAATTTTCAGCCTGAAAAGATGCTGTGGACGGCGTTATGAGCTGCAAACGGGAGGCACCAGATAAGTTATCTTCTTTAATGAGCATCAAACAGAGCCCATTAATTCCTGCAACTGTTCACCTGCACTTAGATCACACAAGCAATCTGGCATTATAGCAATTATTCTTCATGAAATCCTGTCGTGCTCTGAAACACTATCAAGAGGAATTACATGATGAGCTTTTCAGGCAGACATTTTTCAGCTCTTGTCTTCCATAAAAAACATTTGTAACTGAACTCCTGCCAAAGCTAAGATTTTACACTCAACAGAAGGGACAGTATGTTGTTGCCTGAATTAATATCTGTTATTTAAGATTTAGCAAAACATGCTCACATATGAGTAATATAACATATTTAAACACAGCTAAGTGTTTTGTTGAATCAAGGCCTAAAAGAGGTTTTACTGGTGTCAGGGCTGAGAGGGAATCTACATTTAGAAACCATCCTAACAAGCTTCAGTTGTTTTCTCTAGGAGATTGAGGATAAAGGTCTACATTGAACTACTTGATCCCAGGAAACCAGATCACTTTGGCTTTTACCTTACCTGAAGAGAATTATCTGACCTCTGAAAAAGAGCTATTTGAGGAGCATGGCCTTTTGCAGAAGCCAACAGGGGTTTACACAGAGACGTGGCAAAAATTACCTGACAGAGTTCTGAGATGCTGAACTTGCTCAGCTCCAGGAGCAAGGCTCAACTATCCAGAAGCCACTGAACACACTGGAGAGGCAGAAATGCAGCACATAAAATGTGCCTGATAAGTAATTTACTTTTCCTTTCTATTTTTCTTTTGACCTCAGGTCACTGGTGAAATTTGCTTTTTTTGAGGAGATCCTGTACAACTCTGAATCAACATTACTGAGGCTCTTTCCCCAGAGTTGCCAGAATGTAGGAAGACAATGAAGAGGTTTACCATCTGAGCATTTTACCAAAATGCCTAAAGGGGACAGAAGTGTCCTGTTTATTTACTTTGTATTTGAAATATTTCTCCATTTTTCTGTGTTTGTGCCCTCAAGAACTAATCACCATCTCTGCAGGAGACCCCCAAAAGTCCACCCTTCCATCCTCACACCCCTACACTGGGCAAGGCTGGAGCTCTCACAGAAGTACCCATGGGTGTATTTTTGGTTTTCCTCTTAACTGCAAGGAAGACAAACCCTCCAGCACTGCTGTGATATGTGATGGGGGGGTGGGAAAGGACAGCACAGGAGCGAGCCCTCTGTGCTCCCAGGAAGGCACGGGAGGGCCTGTCCTGCCACACGCTGCCCTTTTCACCCAGGGCACCCTGACAGACAGCACCTGGCACTGAAACCAAAGATCAGCTCCAAGAAGTGCCTAAGAAAGGGCTCTGACTAGGGCAGAATTTCCACTTCTCTGCACAACTGCACTTGTCTTTGCTGAGTTGAAAACACTCACTGCCAAGTGATGAAATGAGGCCTTGGAGGCTCCATCACTCATTATCACATTTCAGCCTGAGTGGTCTCCAAACCACAACTTTTCCCAAGGGTTTGAAATATTATTTTATTTATTTTTTAATTGTAGCTGGTTAAATATTGGGCCCTTATCTAAATCAGATGTCTTTAGGTACAGAATTATTGTTTTTGGTTATTGCCTTTTACTCTCTACAGCCATTATATGGAAAGTAAAACTGAAAACTGCTGGAGGAAAGTTCAGGTCATTGTTATTTGGGGGGGGAAAGAAGGACAAAAGAAGAAAGGCAATCTCGTGCTCTTACTCTCAGATTTCTAAGTTGTATTTGGTTGGTGTAGCAAGGCTTTGGTGGTGAGAGAGCTACAGGGGTGGCTTCTGTGAAAAACTGCCAGAAACTCCCCCATGTCCAGTAAAGGCCATGGAAAGGACCCACTCTGGAGCAGCCTGTTCCTAAGGACTGACTCTGGAGCAGCCTGTTCCTAAGGACTGACTCTGGAGCAGCCTGTTCCTAAGGACTGACCCCATGGAAGGGACCCACTCTGGAGCAGCCTGTTCCTGAAGGACTGACTGCATCCCGTGGGAGGGACCCCACACAGGAGCAGGGGAAGAGTGTGAGGAGTCCTCCCACTGAGGAGGAAGCAGCAGCAGAGACAAGATGGGATGAACTGACCACAGCCCCCATCCCACATCCCCCTGCACTGCTCAGGGGAGAAGGTAGAGAAAGCTGGGAGTAAAGGAGAGCCCAGGAAGAAGGGAGGGGTGAGGAGAAGGTGTTTTCGGATTCCGTTTTTATTTCTCATTATCCTATTCTGATTTGATTGGTAATAAACTGTGTCAGTACCTGGTGACTGATCTCTCCCTGTCCTTATCCCGACCCACAAATGTTTCATTGTGTTTTGTCTCCCCATCCAGCTGAGGAGGCAGTGACAGAGTGGCTTTGGTGAGCACCTGACACCCAGCCAGCGTCAAGCCCACACAAGTAAGCACAGGAACTGTTTTAGGCAGAGAGAACCATGGTCCTGGCTCCACTCTCCTGCCAAAGGCTCAGAAGGAGCACTAGTGTGTGTTGTGACCCCTTGCCTAACAAAGATCATTAATGATCACCCAATTACCTAAAGCTCAGCTGAACTTAAAACATTCTGCAAAGGGACATTTGGTCTTAATTTGAAAACAAAGAAGAGCAGAGAATCTGCCACTTCTCTTGCTGTTTCCTTCCAGCAGTTAATCATCCTCATTGTAGAAAAACTGTCTCTGATTTCCTATTTGAATTGTGTAATTTCAGCCTCCAGAAACGATCTTGTGTTTGTCTCTAGTACATATGAGACCACTTTCTAATGCTGTTTTATGGGTATTTATAAGCTCCAGCCACATCTTCCTCCCATAATTTCTGATACCCAAAATACACTGGGCTGTCATGATTAGCCCTTCTCCAGCCTTTAATCATCTATGTAGGTGCTTCTGGACCCTCCCTCTCCAGTTACCTTCATCCCTTTAAAGGTTGGCACCAAAACTACAGCGCAGGTTCCAATGTCACAGAATTAACTCCCTGTTCACAAACAGCAGTACTGTAAGAAGTGTCCATTTGGTAGCTGCACTCAAGGGTGCAGTTCTCACAGAAAGAACCTGCATGCCAAGTCTGGATCTACTGGCACTGTCCCGAATCACTCCATGGGCTGCACAGCCCCAAATATAGGAAGAAACAGAAGAGTAAATGCAACACCCTTTTTCCAGCTACGCTCATTTTGATACTCCTTCAGAGCTGAGCTGAGAGGAAAAGCTCTGCTTTTGACTCCCACTTGCTGTAGATGAACCCAAGCTTTGATGAAGTGTTTCACCTGCACTCAGGCACTGCTGCCCTGTCAGCAGCACGTCCACCTCTGCAGTGCCCCGTGTAAGGCAGTCCCCACACATTCCCCCCTCCATGGCATGGACCATCCAGCCCGTGAGCAGCACAGAGAGGCTCAGAAGACAACCTGGAGCACTGTTTCCTCATGCCTTTGGTGACTCAGCGTGAATCACAAAATTCCAGGGCACGCTGGGGTGGGGCACAAGGAAGCTCCAAACAGACATGTCTCGAGTCGCCCTATGGGAGATGTACACTGGCCACACACACCCCACCAGAACAGTCAGAAGAGCTTGTTGTGCTTTTAAATAATCAAGTTGTGTTCGTATTTTGCTGTTAAAATACATTTCTTGGCCCTTACACATTTTACTAAGGAACAGAGTGACCTGCATACAGATCCCTGTGGTAGCAAACTTGCATCCTGACTACTTCAAAACAACATTTCTGCCCCAGAGAGGAAGCTGGAACTCACCCATGCAATTAGGTTCGGTTAATGTTGGCAGTGAGTGGATAGATATTATCCACTATCATATTTTGTAATCCTCAGCTAAGCAGGATGCTGCTCACTTTGGGAGCCAACAAAATAGCTACTCATTCACTGTCAGACTTGAGCAAAGTCAAGAGCGATCCCTGAAGGTTTGGGATGAGTTCATCCCAGCATCTGGTAATGGTCCACAGTCATTTCTAAAGGTCACTAAATTCTACAGTCAGGTTGCAGGTTTATTTAAACAAATATTTATCTCTACCTCAGGAGAAAAGACAACACTTCTCCTTTCACAAGTGAACTTTACAATGGTCTTTTGATTATCAACTTATTTGCTTCTATGCCAATAATCTTTGACTCTTTTCCTAATCCTTAATTAATCCTTTTTATAAACAATTTCCACTTGGCATATTCTGCTCAGAGGGAATCTTTTGCTGTGTATATGTATCACAACAAGACCTTCGACATCCAGGTAAATATTTTCATATATCAGGAACCTAAGTAAATGTGTGCATAAAGCATAAAAAATTACCTGACTCCTGAAAATTGAGCTCTCATACTTCCCTTGAACTGAGTGGGAATTCATGAGCTCTCAGCAGTTACAGACAAGACACTGAGGAAGTCTCTAACTTAAGCTCACAATGCTTGACTTAAGGCAAACAACTCTGAAAGTGCTGCCCTGAATTTTCCATGTCCTGTTTCCCCTGGCAAAGCCACGGCTTCCCCAAATCACACACAGAAACATCACTTTCAGATTAAAAAGGAAACCTAAAAAGGTCCTGAGAACAGCATGGAGGAGACAAGTGATTTACCACCTGGTCTTCCCCTACAAAAATAAAATTCTGTAATAGCATAAGATATTTCAACATGCAGTTTCTATTTGTTCTTGTCACATTTGAACATAAGAGAACAATTTCTGACCATTGGGTATACACGGAAGTGACAAATACACATGCTTGACTAGAGCTGCATTTGCAAATAGAAAGAGACAAAAATATGTGTTTGGCTGCACAAATCTGTCCCTTTTTTCCATAAAAATGATACATGCACTTTACAGTTCCATAAACACAAGTGATTTAAAGCATATAGTGCTTATAACAGCCAGGTTGAAGCATTTTTGTAAATGCAGCCCTTAAAACAACCAAACACTACTTTTTTGGGCTGCTGCTTAGGAAAACACCATTGAACGCTTACAGATGGCAAATAAAAAAAAAACCCAACTTTTGAAGCTGGAGTCTTGCGTGGGAATTTTGCCTGAGGAAGCAGGCAAGATGAGGTCTCACCCTGTGCACTGGTTGCTAAAGGAATATATATAACAAAAGGAAGCCACATAATAAGGCTACGGTAGATCTGACTTACCACAAGAGCAGCACGTGAAGCAGTTGGTATGATAGAGGTTACCCATTGCCTGGCAAGCCTGGCTCGCTCCATACACACCTTTTCCACACTTTATACAAATACCTACAAAACAGAAAGAGAATCAAAGTTAAAACCCTCAGTAGCTCCTAAAAACAGCTCCAGGCTGTTGATTCACAACACTCATGATACCCCCCATCAGGCCCTAAATCAATGAGCTCCTCATTCTGAATAGATTCAAGTACCCAAGAGAGCAGCAGGCGGCTGGAGGGAAACAAATGCCTGGAAATTAACCCAAAATTAAGGGGGGCAAGCCTCTGCTGGTGTTTCAATCCATGGAGACTGAGGCTAGCTAAGACAGAAATCCAGAGGAGGCAGGTGCAAACAGAGAGAAAATCTACACTCTCTGCAAATAACTCAGCTTACCCAAGAAATAATTCAGTGGGACCTTCACAACTAAGTGCTCCACCACATTATATTCAACAATCACTAATAAAACAGCAATTCAGTTCAAACCCAAAAGGCTTCTCTTTGCCCCTCTCCAGAAATGCAACACCAGGAGTGTTGGTCCACAGTGAAAGCCACACAGTACTGGAGGAGTGGATCTATCAGCCACATTTATTACCTGTTTAACTCTCTGTTCACAGAGCATGTAACCTCCCAAACAAAACCTGGCACCCTACAACACAGAAGAGCAAAGCTTCTACCTTCCTCAGGGCACAAATGCTGCTCGAGTGGGGTCAGAAATTCACCTTTGCTGCCCAGGCCTGCCCTGGGCGATGCCAGGGATGGCTCCCAGGGAGTCCCCAGCAGACCAAAGCACAAGGAGCCAACACAGCACTGGCAAAGTCAGTGGTCAGCTCCACACATGGCAGACTCACAGGGAAGGTCATGATGTCAGTAAGCTTTACAAAGAGGTGATTTTGAGGTGGTTTGGTTATTTTTGGTTTTTTGTTTGGGTTTTTTTTAAAGCTGTTTCCTCATAGTTATAGTTTTAAGAGTCTACTGCCTATGCATTTATTTCTACCTATGCATAACCTCTTTTAGAGCGAAACCAGAGCAGAGAGATAATTCAAGAATCACTTTGGTTCTGTATTCCCACGAAGAAGAAATGAAACTCTGGAGAATCCACATCGTTCTGTCACATGTCAGAACTACTGACTTTTAAGTTTTTCTGAGATGTCCATTGGTCTCTATTCCATTGCAGCAGGACAGTACATCTCAAGTCAAGGCTGTATGATCTTTTCTTAAATACTACAGTAGAAAATAAAAAAATGAGATTTTTTTGCCTCACACAACTCTAAGAAACTGCTGTGTTCCATGTGCTGTTTGAGGCTCTATTTCTACAAATGCATGCACAAGCTTGACATTAATCACTGGCATCAACAAAACTGCTAATACACCCAAGAGCCTAGGAACTCAAGAATATACAAAACTGGGCTTTTATCACCCAGAATTCTCCCCTGCTGTGCTGTGAACATTTTATACACATCCATGGAAAACACAAAATCTGACCATGCCAAACCAACACCATTTTTAAACTGAACTGCTTCAGGGCAGTGCAGCACAAGCACAAACACCTGTAGGGGCTGTGTTTCTTGGTGTCTATACCATTAATTCCCTTATTTCACATCATGAAGGGAGATTAGCCTTTCATTCAATAGCTCAACATCCTGGCACAGTGTTGCCATTTTAGACTGTGAACATATTTGTCAAATGAAATGATAATTTAAAAAAAAATCTAATAATTACTATTTTAAAATATTAAACCTGATTTCAGTATTTTAGTGAAGCAACAACTATAAGTTTAATATTAGCATCTAACAATGTCCCAAGCTAAATGTGTAATACAAACTAGCTGCCAACTAGATCCATCAGTTTATTGCAAACAAAGTGCTAAGAAAATGCCAACCCTTAGGCTAGCTCAGCCCTGACAGGAGAAATGGGAATTTCAGAACATTTGTTGCCTTATCCAAGGCTGCAATTTATTTATTTATAACCAAATGTTATGGAAAACCCCTGCTATTTGCCATGAGTTAATGGTTAACTGATCAAAGATGGCTATTGATTACTGTGGGCACTGTGATTGGAAAAGGTCCTGCGAGGCAGCAGCTGCAGGAATTCCTCCCAGCAGAGCACAGCACCCACCAACCTGCTCTGTCCCATCCCATTCCAGGAGCTCTGCAGTGATCCCAGACCCCCAGACAGGGCAGGAGGGGCTGCACACCCACAGGGAACACGAGGTGCACACCTGGAACAAGTTTCCTCTTGCTTCTGTTCCCTACTCGGTGTGAGGTTTCAGTTCACTCCTGGTAGGGCAGAGAAAAGCCCTCCCAGAGCTCCCCAGATACCTGCACGCTTCTTGCCCAGCTTTTGATGCCAACCATGTACCTGGGGACTGGCAGCTATTGACAGTCTGACTGTGAGGTTATGCTGAGAGACCTGTAACACCTACATTTTCCCATTTACACTTCATACTACCCAAAGAGGAGCAGAAATCCACAGCCTATAATTCTCTGGCATTTCTGTCTATGAGCTCTCATGTACAAATCTACTACAGCCCAAACTGCTTTGATAAATGAAAGTTATTACCTCATTTCTTTGCCGTTGCTCCACTGAACCATGAGCAGCAGCAGAAGGATTTATTGTGGATATTAAACTTGCATTGGCCTCTCCAAGCAAGTGATTCGTTAGGAGCAGCTGTCAGTTTGTTAACTTGTTTGCTCTAAGAGACTAGTCATTAACTCCAGGAATGAGTGACCATGGAGATGATTAGCATGCTAAAAAAGCCTATGTAAAATTCCACAAGTGTATTCTGGAAAATGTATATGCAGCTGCAGTGTGAGTGCTGTGAGTTCATAAGTGCCCAGGAAAAGCCCTGACTACATGGCAATTCAGGTCTGGTTTTCCACCAGTCACAGCCCAGACTGCACACTGCAAGCTTGTGAAAGCCTTGACAAGAACTACATCACTTTTTCCCCCCCATATTTAATTCCCAAGCTTGTTAAAATGCCTATGAATAATGTTCGACTACAACACAAGCATGTCTTGTTTCTGACACTCCACTTGACATGACTTCAGATCAACCACTTCAGCCTTTATAGGATTCCTTGCCCCTCCCAGCACCTCTGTTTCAAGCAGTCAGCTGTACCTCCAGCCCTTTAACACATCAACTCTTCCGTTTCCACCCAAGTCATCAGCTCCCTACAGATCTGGTGTCTCTCTTTAGCTAGAAAAAGCTGTTACAAGATGTTGCATATACCTAAAGTTTGCCTGAGAAGGAGCACAGAGTCACAGCATTCCTTGGCTGCAGTGGTGTTTGCATCCTCGTAGAGTGTTTAACCAAAGAGAGAGACTGAACAAACACACTGTGGACCACAGCAGCAGATGACCAGCACAAGTGATATAAAAAGGAGCTCCCAGGGACTCCCTGCTGGAGTTTGCTATAGCACAGGGCCAGTGCTCCCCACACCTTTAAGCAGGCCACTTCACTGAGCCTGAGCAGCAGTCAGAACATCATCTCTGGACACGAGCCAGGAGAGCCTCCAGCACTGTGTGGCAACAGAGCTGTCAGAGGCACGGTGCTCTCTGGGTAACTCATGCACCACCAAACACTACTGTCAGCACCAGCAGACAATCAGACGGGTATTTTCTGATGTAGGCAGTGATTTTGCTCCCAACTCGAGCCCAAATGCAATGCATTATAACAAGCCAAGTGTCAGCAACAACCTAGAGAAGATGTTAAAGCTGTATGATTTGCTTCAGTGTGTACTTGTAAGAGTTCCCTGTAGCACCCTACGCATTAGAAGTTGTCCAGTGTACAGCTAATCCTGAGATGCTCTTTTGACCATGCCAGTACAGGCTGGTACTTTATACAGACTTCCCCAGGCACCCAGAATTAGGAAAAAGGCTGTAGAAAAAGGCAAATGCAGAATGTAACCTGGCAGGTACACAACCACCTTTTGGCCAAGCTCTGTCCTCAGACACACATGGAATTCAGGCTGTGCCTAATGCCATCCTTACGTAACCTGAAGGCAGAGGTTTAGCACAAATGCAAGAAAAGTGGTACCATATGGCCTCTCAACTTCAGCAGCAGCAGCTGTGGGAGCCAGGGGAGAATCTGGCTATGGACACCCTGCAACAGCTCAGGGGTGAGCTGCAGCTTTACTGTCTTACGGCCACACCGTGGCTGTAAGATCTCCAGGATAACTGCTACATGCTGCCTACAGCAGAAAACAACCAAGCCCTGTCATCAAGAGTTATGGTAAAGCTAAAATTAACAACTAACACATGGCACAGATGACTCCCTCCCTGCCTCTGCAGTTCTGTTAATGCTGCAGTGCTGGGAAAAGGGTGGGTGAATATCACGCTGGGCCGCTGCAAAATCCCCTCTCAGACAGGAAAAGACCATCTCTACACGGGTCCCCAGTGAGATTTTCCACACCTGTGGCCTACCCAAGGCACAGGGCAGAGACATGGAAACCTACTGCCATGAAGTGAGAAGAACAAAGGAGGAGGGAAGCCTGAACTCAGCTCAAGAAACCAAACTGCAGCAAGAGTGGCCAAGCTACAAGAGCAGGAGGGCTGTGGAGGGGCTGTGTCAGACCCTGGAGGTGCCACTGCCACGGGAGGTGTTCCCACCCTGCCTGCAGCCAGTGATCCCACTCCTGGGCACAGCAACACAGGGTGCTACTGCTGCCTGTAAGGAATGTTGTGCTCAGGAGCCAGGCAAACAGGGAAGCAGCAGCGCTGCCCCCGGCCCGGGCAGTCCTGCCAGCGCTGCCACAGCACCTGCCTGAGGTGAGGCAGCTACTGTGCAGACATCCTGCAGGGGTGGGGAGAGGTGACTTCAGGGGAGAAAAATGCTCCTTTCCTTCCAGCAACCACAGGAGGAGGGATCTCCTGACACACACGTCATCCCCCAGCCAGACACAGAGAGAAGGAACGAGGCACCTGTGCGGGGCAGAGCCAGCAGGAGCAAGGGAGGCAGCCCAGGAAACCCTCCAGCCCTCACCACTGTGGAGGGCTTTAGCCTGTTACCTGGCAGATACCTTGCAAATGCACCAAGGATTGAATATCTAACATAAAGTCTGGTATGTACAAGT